TGGCGGGCAGCCGCTGAACAGGCACCTCTCCTCCCTCAGCCGGCCAGGGCACTGTGCGATCGCTTCCCTCCAGCCCGCAGCCGAGCAGAGGTGCCGTCCGCGAGCGCACCAGCTCCTGCAGGGCTGCGCGGGGCCACGCTCCCCTCGGCAAGCCCCACGCTTCCCCCAGCGCCGCGCACGACGGCCATGCTCTGCCACAGGCACCTTTCCCGGTTCATAACAAGGTTCATGTTTCCCATGCAGCAGGACACTGAGGCTGGGGAACCGGCTACAAGGAGCTGGCCGACAATCCACCTTTGCAGAACCCAGATGCTGCAGCGGCATGAGCCATGCCGTCGGCTCAGGGAGCAACAGCGTGCCGCTAGATGGCACGGCCACGCCGGCTGTGCCTGCGAAGCCACTGAGCAGAGGAACCCGCACAAGCAGGCTTTTCCTTAATGAAGTGTCCCAGCCTATCACTGTTAGTTCTGTGAAGCTGAGTGTGACTATGCTGAGTCCCCAAATCAAAGGGTTTATTGAGACAGCCCAGAACACAGCTATGAGTTTGTTTTCTGTGTGTGTGTGTATGTTTTTTTTTTAAATAAGATCAAAGAACACTTCAAATTTCATTTGCTGCCAGAAAAAAAAAAAGTGAATTCAAAGAATGAATGCCTTGCAAAGAAACAAACCAGTTTGGAAGGAAGAACAAAGTACCACCCTACTTTAGAAGAAAAGCATGCCTGCCCCTAAAAACAAGGGAAACCACCCCCGCCCTGGGCATGCACAACCAGTGCTGCCAGGCCAGGTGACAGCACAGCACTGCAGTACACGAAGGGGTCCTGCACGTGCAGGTGGCTCTGTGCTGAGATGCACAGAGCTGATGCCTGGCAGGACGCCCTCCTCACCAGCAGGAGGGAAACGACAGAGGCTCTCAGCTCCAGCATAACTCAATGAGCAGCAGACTGGTAACTATGATTAAGGCCTGAGGGCTGGGAGTTGAAAACTGCCAGGGACTGAACTTAGGCTGGGGTCTTCAGGGTTGCAGAAAAGCCTTATGGAATAATCCAAGCCAACAATCCCTCCTAAAGGAGCCTTATCCAGCCAGAGCACACCAGGCACCATCGATCATTTTAATGCTGTCCTTGCTGAACGGCAGTCAACCCTTTCATCATAGCTGCTTTTGCAAGAACTATGCAGATGAAGACAGCAACTGTCAGCATTTTACAGAGGCTCTCCAATGAACACACCTGCTTTTGCTCACATTAACTGACACCACCTCTCCAGGAACCAGCGCTGGTTATGTGGTCCAATGCAATACTAAGAACCATTCTCTGCAGTGCTAGTTTCTAACACCACACTGCTGGGTCATGCTGGGTTCTGGCCATGAGGTTTCTCAATCTTTGCTTGGGAAACACTTGGTATAAAAACTGAGTACAAACTGTTGGCTAGCAGAAACAAGCCCACGTCCTATACAACTCCATAGCTATAATAAGCTTCATACATGCCAAAACACATGTCCGTATCCTGACATATTCTACAAACACAGCAGCACAGTAGAGACAATTTATTCTAGTGACGTCTCTTTTTTTTCAGTTGATACTTTATGTTCAGCAGCAGAGAAGATCACAGGTTACAGCGGAGTCACATAACTGCAGCACCCTAGCCGGCCCTGAGACTCAGAGGCATTGCCCTACACTGACCATTCTAACACTGAAGGGAATGGCAGTGCACTCCTGCTACGCAACTTGGCACAGCTAGAGGTGGCTTACGACGACTCCACAGGATCTTTCACCCCTAAGAACATCTACACTGCTCCTGTGCACAAGAAATCCTTCCAGCAGATTAGACTTACCCAACTCCTAATCACCACTATCCTGCCGAGAATCAATTTCAAAATCCTTAGGAGTTCTCCTTCCTGCAGGGAACAGCTCGTTACAGGAGCCAACATCACCATCCCTTAATTTTTGGGTAACAGCAGCACAGAGATTCCCTGCTCAGTATCTTTGATTCCGAAGCTGAGAAGGGAAGGGGTCTGTATTTGGAAGAAGCCTTTAGAGTCCTCCCATTCCACACCAGGGCTGGGCTTCATACTGGTCTCAGACGTGGTTCCTCCTCCTCCTCGTGGTTTGGCGGCTGCTGGGGCATCTCTTCATCTCTCGTCTCTTGCTTGTCTCTCTCCGCTTGAAGCCAGCTCTGGGGAGCTATCATTTTCTTTGGCCCATAAGGGGGAGGCCCAATCAAAGCTTCAATGTCATCATAATTTATCACTTCTTTCTCCAGGAGGGCGTTAGACAGCTAGAAAGAGTAAACAAGGCATAATGAGGCACAGAGGCTTGAGAACAGCCTCCCTGAACTGATCTGAACTCCTCTTCCTGCCAGCTCAATTCACATCTCAACATCTGGACGCAGCACGTGCTGGAGACCACAGTGAACAGACCCCTGGCTATCGCGCTACAGATGGTGTAACCTGAAAGCCTGCTGCAGCTAGCACAAAGTTCTCTAGGCAGCTGGCACCTTCTATAAGAGCACTGCTGGCCAGGAATACACAGCATGAGTGGAGACAATAAGGCAAACTCTGGGCAATGATTTGGCGAGTCAGAACTCCAGGGACAATCAGAGGTACCCTTCCTGTCATGGCACCTGTGGCACTGCCTGTGTAAGACGCCAGAGTAACAGCAAAGACCACCAGAGCCAGACCCTCCCCTCCGCACACCGATAACGTAACACAAAGACGTAACAGAGCCATCTGGTCCTGCAGACATGGGCTGAAGGTCATTAGAAGGTGCTCTCCAGGACAGAACTCTGGCCCCTGTGCCAACAGAAGGGCCACATTTGAGCAGCAGGTGGCTGTCAAAAACATGCAACTGCTCAACTCTGCTAACAAGATATGACACACTGATCTGGCAACCAAAACGTTTACTCTGTAGATATTTTGGCTTAACTTAAAAGTTTTTCCATCATCAGCCTTCAGCAAATGTCTGACTGCTGCTAAACGGAAGCATCAGAATAGAGGAGGCCTGGAGGGAGGAGACCCCGTCACGACACCTGTCTTGAGAGCGCTCCCAGAGCGCTGTCCTGCTGTGATATGGGCAGCAGCACAGTGTCTGAGCAAGCAACTTCTGGCTCCTTTACTATGCATGGAAGAGTGTCCTGCAGTCGGGTGGATGGAGGTGTTTTGTTGCATGCATGTGTGTAGGTACACGTGTGTGCGTGCTTTTTAATTAAGACGACTTGAGGAAAAGGGTTGTTTGATTTGCAAAACATGCAACACTGAGTTGGCTCCTTGTCATTTTGGATGCTACAGACTAGACTTCTGAAGGGAAGATCAAGCATTTATATAGAGAGCTGCATCACAGGCCTGGCCCAGCCCTGAGGGATAGGTACAGACCTCCAGGGCAGAAAGGTGGGGACGCGCTAGGGTGATTGGCTAGGCAACACTCAGGACACAAAAGGAAGGAGGCAAAGCTCTAGCCCTGCAACAGGGACTCCTCAGTACAGCAGGTGCCAAGGAGCTGGCAGGTGAGAACTGCCTGGAGTCACTCGAGGGCCTGAGCCAGCACCAGTCAACTGAGGTGACAAGTCCTGTGTTTTTTCCACCATCCCTAGAAATTGTCCACCTGATTCCTGTACCCCTACAGAACCTGGCAGGAGGAGCTTCGCAGGCTCCACAGGAACGGCCACTGTGCTTTCCAGGAAAGTACACTGCCAAGAGGCTAGCAAAGAAGTGCAGATGAGGGAGGCGAATTCTAGCTTTCAATCACCTCCATCCAGCTCCTGGACAGAGCAACTCTTCCTCCTCTCCCCTGCAAATACCAGCTGATGTCAGGAGGCAGACTATCCACTGCTGGAGAAGGCACATATTCTTCCCTATGCTCACTCCTAATCTGAGGGATCTACAATGAACAGTAACTCATGCCAACAGTGGGAACAAGCCCCAGCACCCCCACTGCAAGACTTCCTAAAACCACACAGACCACACTACACCAGCCAAGCTACAGAGCACAAAGTAGCAAGGCCAGAAACATCAGTAAAATGCTTACTGCTTGCAGCTTGTCCCGGTTGTCCAGTAAGAGTTTCTCTGTGCGTCTGTAAGCCTGAGCCACCAGCACCTTTGCTTCCTAGGAGGAGAGAGCAACAAGGAGAGATTCGGAGCACAGGTGGCAGGGAACGTAACATGTGGACAGACCTGAAAAGTACTAAGGGATGGAATCTGCAAACTGAGCTAGGCAGAAAGGGCTTCCCACTGGTAGAAAATACATATAAACCTTCTGAAATAAGAGCAAAAGAGTATTTATGATAAGCAACGGTAAACTCTTCCACTGGCACAACAAATCCCAGGGAAGCATAATCATAGTGCTTCCCAAACAGCTTTTCACTTTCCAGGTATTTGACTTCCCAACTACAGTCAAGTGGTTTTTTTTTTTTTTTTTTTTTTTTTTGCATCAAGGAAAGTCTAATTTCCTGTCAAAACACAGGCTAGTATTTTTCAGTCAGCCATTTGGGTTAGAAAGCCTCTCTGACCTAGAAACTGGAAACATTTAAATTGTGCAACTGAGATTTCAAGTCACATGCTTCTTGTGGTCTAAACATTGCAAAGGCCTGCTTAGATACACATGGGACTACTCAGGGCCTGGAAAGACCTTCACATAGGAGAACCTTTCCCTAGCCTGGTATTTGTCCACAGTTCCACAACTACACCAGCCTCCCAAAAATCTTTCTTTCTCCTTCTCTGCAAAGGTCACATTTGCACCTCCTTCTGCCTCCCAGCTCCACAGGGCTTTGTCCATACTGGAATTATAAATGCAGCTTTCAGTTTTACACATTACAGGATATTTCATAGCCACTCAGTGCAGCTCCAGGCAGCACAGTGCTACTGTGCTGAACTTACAGCTTTACATGATTTTGCCTGCTCTTAATGGCTCACTGAATAGTCCTAACACAATGTAACAATAGATTCTTGCTCAGTTGCAAGAATTTACTACTTAATTGCTAAAACAAATACAAAGTATCTGAGTGCAAGCTACTTGCATTTTTCAGTGAACTGCAAAAACAAAGAAAAAAGGGAACACGGAGCCAGGGGCGGCCTTACGTGGTCCATCATTTGCTGAAGTCCTTGGCTGAAAGGGCGCCGACCAATTCCAGATGCACTCTCCAAGTCTGGGAAGGAGACCTGCCCGATGCTGGCCACCATCCCGTACTGCTTCACCATGGAGTAGGCTATCTTGGTCACCTTCTTCAGGTCATCCTGTGCTCCTGGGTAAGAGGGGAAGACGCAACGCTTGCCAGCTCTCTGAACTGAGTACAAGAGGAACACGTCCTACACAAAAACGCGTTCCTCTAGTCAAGAGGCCAGAGGAGCTGCAGGGGCCCACGGAGGCGAGCACTCCACTTTGAGGCACCTTACTCTGTATACTGCAAGACCTATCCAGGACACTAAGTGAACGCACTGGCAGCTAGCTCACGTTGGAGTGCTTAGCTGCCACTGCCCTGCTGTTAGCCATTTGGATTTAACTAGTTGGAATCAAGGCAGAGAGCTCCAAGCCCTCCCACCAGCCTTAAGTCTCACCAGGCAATTGCATCTGTAGCCTTAGGCTTCAGGGCAAGTCAGCACGGTGGCACTGCGACGTGAGACCTTTACGCTCAAAGGCAAGCCCAAGATCAAAACAAGCAAACTGACATTTCTCCCTTCCTGCTCCTCAAGGTGGGAAACCTCTGTGTGCTGCTCAGATCACCCTTGGATAGAACAGCAAGGACAGAAATTCAGGCCCTCTTAGCATTAACTCCACCTGCTCATGCCAGAGTCTAACTCCTCACCTGTAGTGACTTTGTTAAAAGTGATGGCCTCAGACACTCTCCCACCAAGAGCCATACACATCCTCTCCAGCAGCTGTTCCTTGGTGAAGAGGTATTGCTCTCTTGGAAGGATCTGAGCAAATCCCAGAGCTGCGTTTGTTCGAGGGGCTATGGAAACCTGCAACACAGAGAAGCTCCATCAGTTCAGAGAATAAGAGAGCTCCCAAAGATTGTCACAGGGGGAAGAACAGGAGAGGGGCCTGCACTCCCAGCGAGATTTGTCAAAACCTCATGGGTCAGGCTGATCTAGAGACAGGGCCAAGAACTGCAATATGTCAATGTTCCCATACTGAAAGCTCTGCCTTCAGAGTGGCGTGTTTTTGCCATTACAGAGCAAGAAATAATAGAAGGAAATGGTCCTTAACAGCAAGCCAGTGAAATCCTGAGATTTAAGAGCGGAGGATAGAAGCCAAATTGAATTTGCTTTACTGTCCAGAGTCACCGAGACTACCTGGAGAAACATGGGACGTCTTTAGAAAAGAAGAAGCATCTCCCCCATTAAATGCAGTCACATCTTGTTGAGAGTAATTAACAACAGTTCATCTTATACAATAGGTCATTCATAGTGACTTTGCTGCTGGTCATAGGCCAAGGAGCTGTCGTCCTTGTCATTCCCCCCCAACCCCAACCCCCAGTGTCTCTGAGGGCTCTCTGAGGGAGGAGATGTGCATGGGAGAGAACACACCCTGGGCTCCTGAAGGGAGGACTTTTCCTACAGAGGAGAGCTTCAGGCAGACAAACTCCCAAGCCTGCCACTCTGCAGCAAAAAAAAAAAAAAAACACACAAGAAAACCTCTTCTGATCAATCTTAGAGCAGCTCCTGGAATGGCCTGACTGGTATACTGGCTCCAACATGTTGGCAAGCCATGGCAGGGAAAGATCATGTACGCATGCATGCACACAGAGCAGCGCTTTGTCTGAAAGAGATGCATGAATTGAGCAGCAGCATCGGGAGACTCAGTTGTTCCAAACATACCCAGCAACGGGGTGGCCAGCAGACACGTTTGGAGCATTGTACAGTTGGCTTTTAAATGCAAGACTCCTCCAGTGGCTGATTATCAGCTTTGCAGCACAAAGTGTGATCAGTGACTATCCTCAGTGGAGCCCAATAATAGATTTCCTCACAGCAGGTTTGTCACTTGGTATTTTGCTGTAGTATTCACAACTCTAAGCTCATGGAGGTCAGGGTAATACAGCAGAGATTAACTCAAGTACTGTAGAACAATCAGCATGTCTGGGATAGGGGAACCCCAAAGGATTCTCTCCCCACCCAGTGACAGACTTCATTACACAACAGCTAGCAGTTGGGTTACCTTCATCACAGCCTCAGTGTGCTCTAGCAGCCAGCCAACCAATGCATGGCCTGATTCATGAAACGCCACAACCTTCCTCTCTTCTGGTGACAGGATCTTACTTCTTTTGGCAGTGCCTGCAGGAACACAGACAAGGATTTGGTAAGAAAATAAACCAGCAACAGGTGTAACTAGTAGAACTTACTCTTGAGCAACTAAGCGCACAACTTAGCACAGCCTGTGGCTGCACAGCCAGCAAGCTCGCTATTGCACTCCATCTAGGGAGAGGCAATAAAATGCCCTTCAATTACAGGCTGCGGAAGAGGTGCCCTCTGTCCCTGCAGTAGGAAGCAATCCAAGCATGTCTACTATAAACATGCACTCTGAGGAGTTCAGGCTGAATGGCAAGCTTTGTCAATCCATCCCTGGTGGCTCTTTATGTAACGTGGCTATTCACGACAACATTGGCAGAAACTTCCCCTCTTTCTCTCTTACAGACAAAATCAAACGTTAAATTATTTGTGTAACGATTAAATCACAGCTCTAAAATGCAAAGCTAGTTTCTGTTCACAGCTCTGCTAAAGGCATCTTACACTCTATTTCTGCCTAGGGACAGTTCTGCAACAAGTCAGTCCACCACTTGGAAAAAACAGAGACTGGCTGGAGCGTTGTACTGATTTTTCTGCACAGTCTTTCAGTCCCTTAGGCAGAATATCAGAGAGAGGCAAGATGTTGTATTATATATACCCATAATAAGAGAGTGGGCCCAGCTGAGATCCTTGTGCATTAGGAGTGTTCAAATCAGCACAAAACCAAGAGCACGTATAAAAAAACTTCTCTAGACCCAGGAAATGTCTCCGATTACACATGGCATGCTCCATATGAGCTTATTCCCAGGCTCCTGAGAACCAGCAAATTAAGCCATAACTCACGCTTAATACTTCCTCCAAAAAGGTGATTTTTGAAAGTGTCTATTTTCCAGCCCAGTAGTCCGTAACACAGAATAAGTCCAATTAGGACTTCAAAAAATGCTGAATGGAATTAAAGCTTCTAGCATGTAGAAAATACATTAACTACAGAATACACTGCATATCAAGCACTCATTATAGCTCTGCACATTGAACACAAAAAAGCGTCAGTACTTTAAATCAGATGTCTCCACACAGTGCTAGGAGCTGTAGGGGGTAGAGCAGGCACAGTCAAGAGCAGCATTACACCAAGCTTGCTCGATGTCTTGGAAAACAACATTCTATTAACATTAATTTTTAAACAAAGTCAAGAGCTTTATTAAACAGGGAAACAGCAAAATTAGTGTGGCAGATCTTGTAAAATTACTGCTCAGAGACCCTGCAAACCACTGTGCCCTGCAAGACACAATGGTGATGGAACAGCAGATTAATTGCAACAGCCTTGATTTTAATCAGTCAGGCCCTTACCCTGCCTTCAGCAATGTGTATGTATATAACTCGCTCTATATATACACATATATGTGCATGCCGTCTCATCTATAAATATATATATATATATATATATATATATAAAAACTTTGAACAATTCTGGAAGCATTTCTTTGTCAGCCTACCCTGGGACAGAGGCTGGCAGAACTCTTTGCAATAGCACACAGTGTGCCTACAAAGATTGTTTCTTTCTTTGCATAAAGCAAGCTCCGGGCAGAAGAGTTCCCTGAAGGCCTGTCCTTATCACATTTAGGAGAGAAATAACCCAGGAAACTACTCTGGTGCGTCTTGACTTGCCTTACACAGTGTGCACAAACTCCTCCAGGAGAAAAGGCTCCACTCCATCTTCCAAAGACAACCCCTAAATGCCTCTGCGCATCCAGCGGGTTTCCTCCCTCACTCCGAGGAGACCCGACTTACTTACTGCTCCCTGTTCCCAAAGTAAAAACACAATGGGGACTACTGCAGAGAGGAGCTCTTACTCCTCCCTTACAGCAACACAAAGCTTTAAGGCTGACAGGGCTTCTGGACTTGCAAAGTTCTCTTATGAGTCAACATCACTCTTAAGACCAGAAGCTTATAATGGAAAGCACAGATAAAAGCTTTTCTTCAAGAAAAGCTTTTATAGCAACTGAAACGCCCTCTGAACTGTGGAACCCAGAAGCGTCCCTATTCCTTGGCAAGGCAACATTTAATATATAGGCCTGTAACAGTGATTAGGGCCTTTTAGGCTATCCTACAAGTAGCCAGGTCCTGCTAACGTGAAGGAATCAACTTAAGCAACAAAAAGACTTTACAGCCTCCTAGATGCCACAGTGCCTCAGTGAAACAAGTCAGCTTGTCAGCAGTGAAACTGCTGACATCCATGCGCTGTAACACCCACCACATTAATCCCAGATATCTCTTTTGCTACACATCCCCCGTGATCTTACATGCTGAGCAACACCTTTTCACTCTGTCCTCCAAGTCTGGGGAACGAAGGCAAGGGTTGATTTCAGAAAGAAAAGCCAAGGAGATCCTCATGAGTTTGGTGCTTTCTCCCCTGAAGATGGGAAGGTAAAGCACATATTTGCTCTGGCTGATTAGAACTTCCGCAGGACTACTAGACGTCTCTGTCTTTCTCTCCACCCTCAGCAGCTCTTGAACACAGCTTGGGCTTTGTGGACATGCAGTCACAATTACCCAGAGCACTCCAAGAGTTTTAAAAGGTAGGTGAAATTGTCTGGAGTTTTCTCAAAAAAATCATTCTCTTGAATGAGGAGTTACTTGAGCACTTCCTGATAAAGTGAACATTGAAAACTAAACTCCAAGATCAGGAAATAACCATTCCAACACAAACATCCTGTTCCACAAGCTCTACTCAAAGAAGCACAGAGTGCCAGTCTGTTTGCCCAGGCTCAACCTCTGGTAACGACACTGCAGCCTGGAAGCAGTTCAGTGTTTGATTAGGAGAACCAAGGCCTGGCTACAGGGCAGTTCAGACTGAAACCCACTAGATTCAAATCCCTCAGGTGAAGCCAGGAGTTCTGGGAACTATTCTTTCCTCCCCATAATATATAGCCACAGGGTAATCTCAAGAGGTTCCTCTGCTGGCACTTACACAGCAAGCAACAGGGAAAGGCTGACAGGATGTTCTCAGAGAGAGAACAGTACTCTACTGTCTTTTAGTTTATTCTGTCAATTCATCAAAGCCTGAGTTTCCAGGCCAAAAAAGAAAAAAAACCACACACTGATTTCTTCCTGAGGCTGTTGAGGATGGGTAGCCTTTTTGCATTATTTTGCTACTCATGTTTATGCAGCAGGTGTCCAGAGGAGCAATGAAAACCCAGAGAGACTTCCACTCTTTAGTTCTCTTTATTTTTTTTTTTTTGAAAATTTTTAATTAAAAGAATCTACCCAAATTTGAATTCCCTTCTTCACAGTTTTGCTACTGGCTATCTTCACTGAGCTATTGGTTCGGGCTGCCTGCAAATTCAAGACAAAAGATCCATCTGGGGTCTTGTTTAGAGAACTCTTTGCGACTACAGCTTCTGAAATCTTCAGGACAGTTCTACAGGTGGGAGCAGAGTCAGGACCCATCTGCCTTCCTGGAACTTAACCCACTCATTTTAGCCTTCTCTTAACAAGCATAATATGGACCAGGAAGACAACAACAGAAGTGGTCAGACCACCTACCTGCAATGACTCTTTCCACAGCATACTCAAAGTTGAAGGTATCAATGGATTTGTGACCCTCTCTGGCAGCATGAAGAGCAGCTTCGTTACATATATTTGCTATGTCGGCTCCTATAGGCAAAAGTTTAAGAATTACATTGCATTTGTTATGTGACACTGGATTCCAGGGGACAGAAGAGGCAAGAACAGATCTGGAGGAGGACCTAAGGAACTCAAATAGCCTGCACTGCAAGCTCCTCTTTGTTCCTTGGGAACAGAGAGCAAACCTCATCCATGGTGTTTATGTTGGATTTGAACAATACAACTGTCTTGGCAATGAACGCTGCATTGCTACACAGAGGACAGAGTTCAGCAATCAATTAAAAGGCTAAAGCCAAGGCTGGCTCTCAGCAACAGAGGGGTGGCGTGGGCAGTCTGGATTGGCATGGGCTGCTGCACTGTTCATACAGCAACCGCACAAACCTCTGTGCGGAAGAGAAAGAACATCTGTTCTGAATTTGTGTGTGGGGGTGATGGTGGTGGGGGGCTGCTGAAAGAAGTCACAAAGAGGCAGAGTGCTGGGGCCTGTTAGAGGGGAAACCCAGAAAGAATATTCCAGGAACTCCACATAAACAGGAACTCTGGAGCCCCTTACTCAGCACTGTTTCAAGCTCCCTGGGAGCCTACCCTGAAAGCAGGCTCAGTGCAGGAGCCAGAGCTGTCCGATTTTTACCCTGACCAAAGTAATTGCTATTCATTTCTCCTATCACTTTAGTTTCCTAGTAACACATCAACTTCAGAGTCTTTCCCCATCTCGGTGAGCTGAAGTGCAAGAACGCACCTTCAACAGCAGCTTGGACAAGATCACGAGTGGTGGTTCCTTCCCTCGGGAATTAGGATCCCAGACGCTACAGAAGCGTATTTTTCTCTACCTACGTGCCCTGCTACTCCCAGAAGCCTCAGAAAACTGAGAATAACCACAAACAATTCCTGATCACTGCTCCATTCACTAGGGAGCTGGTTAGGCTCCCATTTTTTCAGTAGAGATGGAGAAAGCTGGAGGAATAAGCAGCCTTTTAGACCAGAACATCCTGTTAAAACAAAGCAAACAAGAAGCCCCAGGTTGAACTGCATAACTAGCAAGTGTGGAAGCAGGTAGAGCTGCTCCACAAGGATGCAGCATGTCATACCACTGAAGCCCGGAGTCAGCTCAGCAAGGTGCTGCGAATAGAAGCTGCCATCTTGGATCAGTTTGAGACCCTTCAGGTGCTGCTCAAAGATTTCTCTTCTCTCCTGTAAAGGAAACAGCATTTGCACAACAAGGAACATCTGGGCCCAGCAAGCCTTTGCAATAAGGCAGAGTCACTGCCATCCATCACAAGCAAAGGAGCAGCCAGACCTCTGGCAGCAGGGATGGTGACACTGCCACCAGAGGGCAGGGCCGTTCTTACAACGTTTTCATCCTACAAGAGTCCTGATAAACTCCCAGCTCCCAAATTCAGAACAGATGTATGGAGGCTTATGGTGAGTCACTGCCTTCTCTCCCAGGGCCGCTCTCCCCTCCTAACTTTCACTCTGATCTGTCTTTTAACTTTTGTCTTACCATAATAGCACTTGCAGAGAAGGAGCTCAGAGCACCTCTGCCTGCTCCCTCCTACACTGAATGAAGACCTCATCTACTAGCTACTCAGCCTGTGACCATGCTCCAGAGGAAGGTGGGGGTGAAGTGACAGCTGGCAAGTAGCCAGGGAGTGACTCATTCAGCTGGTCCAGGAGATCCTGATTAGAACAATGGGCTCAGTTGCCAGGGTTTTTCCCTTCCTCCTGCAGGGCAGCTGCACAGTTCATGCTTCCGGTGCCAGATTGTATCAGGCATTTAAGGTATTTTAACTGAAAACTCCAAGGATGACAGTAAAGCACAGATGGAAGAAGAGCCTGTGCTGGCAGAGCACGCACATCTTTACTGCAGCTGAGCTTATTTTCAAAACTGTGCTACAATTGTCAACATAGCAGACATGGTGAACTACCCTAGTAAACGGATCTAAAAACATTCAGGAGGGGAAAGTCACTCAACAGGCTGGCGAAAGAAAAATGATAAGGACAGTGAGAATAATAAACTGACATGACAAATGGTGCTCAAGGCACATTACAATTTGAGCTCTCCTCACACTAACTTGTCAATTAGGTGGTTCCCGACTTCCTGGAGAGAGGACACAGATATATTTCTGCATCTCCATGGCAAAGAGAACCTCAGAGAAGAATTTGCTGCCAAAGCCCATACCAGAGCAAGCACAGACACTTCAAAAGGTGAGTTGTCATTTCAGAGAAGCAAATAAGTGAATTAGCATGTCAGCTCTTTGATTTAAGGCACAGAAATAAGAACAAAGGCAAGCATAAGCCTGCCATCTCTATCTTCGCCAAGCTCAACCTTTGCCAGGCCAGTGAATCATCAGCAAGTAAGAGACTGGGACACCCGGGTCATTAGCATTATGGGAAGGACAGGGCAGTGGGTGGAATATACCTGCAGTGTTGGAAGATCAATAAAGATGTGCCTGTCAAGCCTCCCAGGTCTCATCAAAGCGTTATCCAAGACATCAGCACGGTTGGTAGAAGCCAGCACTATGACATGATCTGTGGTCCCCATTCCTGTAGCAAAACAAGTACAAACAAGGGTGAAGGTTTTCACCATCACAAAGATACTGCATTGCAAGCACACAAAGGGATGGGACAGGGCAGGATGCAGAGAACATCTTACACAGCTTTATCACAAAGCCACATTGCGCTTACAGCAACCTCTGTGGCAACTGAGGCTGAGGAAGTGTTCTTCTCTTCAATTAGGAGCACAAGACAGGAAGGGACCTCCCAAGTCATCAAGCCTAGTCTCTGGTCATCACAGACACTCTGAAATTCCCTTTTCACTTTTTTAAATCCCAATTTAAAAAACATTTATTTTTTGTTTTTCGCCACAACTGGAAATTGCTCCAACTGAAAACCAGAACAGAATTTCTCTGTTCTTAGGAGATGCCCTCTCAGCCCCAGCCTTAAGTCAGTTCCTGCTTGTTTAGTCCCAGGTTGAGCAAACACCACTACTAGCTGAAATAACCTGTTCCTGTTAGCTGAAATAATCTTTCCATCCCCAACATTTCTGCGGAAAGCCCTCTCAGCTTTCATTTACTTTCAGCCTTCCACCACAGACAGGCCGCCAGGATCACCGGGTAAAGGGACAGGCTTTCTTCTGACCAGCTCAGATTAAAGCAAAAGGAGAGGACATAGCCTCACCATTCAGCACGGGGCACATCAGAGTAATTTGCTGCGTCTTTTCACTCAACTTTTTTCACTCAAAGGGCACCCAAGCACACTGCAGACCAGTGTGAAGACCAACCTTGCAGAACTTGCAACAGACTTCACGTAGGCAGGGCCAGAATGCAACCAAACAGCTTTGCAGTGATGGTTAGCACACACTAGCTCAAGCCACAGCCAGGCAAGGTTTTGTCTCCAGATCTTAAAGAGGAAAGCAGCATCAGGATTTACAGGCTTTGTGAGAGCCGCTTGCAGTGTGGAGGCACCAAAGGCGGACAGGCCTTCCTGGGGAAGCCAGAGCACTAACAGCTGGAGAACAGAGAGGGGCAGGTGGCTGTGTTGCTTGGGTGGGAAGGAAGAGATCAAGTTGAGTCACTGAACCACACTGCTTATTTATTACATTCCACCCAGTGCCCAGAGGCCTCCGGGTATGAGTCACCTCCTTACAGCAGATTCAACAGCCCTGGCATAGAGCAGCCTTCCCAGGGAAAGGACGCGTTAGTCCCATGTGCTTCCTTTGCTGCCAAATCGCACACTGCAGAGAAGCGGCTTTATGCACGTAAGCCAGGTGAGTTGCAGCTCTCTCCAGCTCCACCAGAAGAGCTGCCAAATGTGTCAGTGTACAAGAACTCAGGAGAGACATTGAAGTTAGAGGTAAGTCAGAAGACTGGCTCTTTCAGCTTGTGCTATGGCAAGCCTCAGTTCTTCCTCCTTGCAGGATGCTGTCTAAATAAGCTCCTGAAGATGAAGCCCACGATCCTTCAGGCATGTGTTACAGTGTGCTTTGGAGTGTGATAAATAAGCAGAGACTGGCAGACACTTCAGGGATAGCAAACTTCATTCACATGGCAAGATTAGACAGTACAATAAATCATCTGCTTTGCAGCTGGGAAGACTCAGTCTTAAAATAGGCCCAACTATTAGAACAAATATAACTAAAACAGAACCAAGGAACACATCCTTCTTGCATCAGCTTTTGCCCCACTTGCTCTCAGCGGGCATCCCAGTAGCGTGAGAAACAGCTCCAAGAAATCCACAACAGCAACCTGCTTCACCTTTGTGTGCCCAATACAATGTCGCCTGGCATGTCACAGGCTTAGACTGTTCATATGACTGATCTTTGCCTGTTGAAGTCAATGACAACATCACCTCAGTCACATCAACAAGTTAAAAACAGCAATGAAAATCTAATCTAAAGAAAGCCTTCATATCTGCAGTGCTTGTAAATGAGGCCACTTCAAAAAGAAAAGGAAAAAAAATCCACTTGAATTGGTAAGTGCTCCGCTTCCCCACTGACACAGAGCATGTTACTTGCATGGGCATCTCATCCGCATTATTACCCTGTGTAATTCTACAGCTGGTTGCTGAAAAGCATTTTGGGCATCATCTGCGTACAGCATCAATGACAGAGCCACTTTTGTAAGGGAAGTCAAAACATAGGTCAAAAACGTACATAACTGCATAACTCAGGGAGGCAGGTCTCATCTGAGAACTGTGTGTGAAGAGCTGCTGCTGAAAGATGTCCCACACTTCATTCACAAAACACAGATCAGACCAGGACCTTCAAGCTCCTCTGTTCTGAATGCATTTGAGAGGAGATGTTTGGGTCACATTCCTCTTCTGCTTGTTTGCAGTTTGCATGTGAAGATTCACTATTCAAACCAGGAACACGTACTACAGTCTTTGTCAGAACAGGTCGCTCTCCTTTTAGAAACAGCTTCAGGATATACTAGGTCCCTCCCATCCCTCCCCTTCTTCCACCAGATCCCTGCTGCTTCCAGAATATGAAGAAAGCTATCAGAGTGAAGGAAACCAAGGTTGCTTGCAGAAGAGCACTGCGATTACTCTGAAATCTGCATACCAGAATTACCAAGCATCAAACCGCACATTCATCCCATACAGCTTAGCGTAATGGCTTTTTTTTTTTTTTTTTTTTTTTTAAATGTCCTCTTCCTTCCCCTAGCCTGCAGAGGGGGTTCCCATGCAGCTCTGACCTTCCTTTTCTTTCTCTACCTTACCTCTGAGTAATCTCATCCAAACACAGAAATTCAACATTCACTGGTAAGCTGATCATCCACAGATCTACTTCTATACTCTATTTCCACCCCTCTCAAATTAATAGCTGAACTCAGCTCTGTAGTATTGCCTTCCAGAAGTTCAGCCATCAATTTAAGCTAAAAGACAGCTAAAACAGAGGTCTTGCCCTTCTGTTTCAAGGCTTCCTCATTACAAATGCTTACCACTCCTCTACTTGTGCTTAGTTAGAACTGTTAACCTCCCTCTTCTGAAAACTTGATTTTGCCACGATGCACATACAACTCCAGTGTTCATTTCGGTAACATGCTCTGTTAGATAACACTCCAGTAACATGTGCCAAGATCAGTGCTTAGGAGTGCAAGCCAATGTTAAGTCCATGTTTCTTGTACTAGCCTGACAGTCCTTGCCAGCTGTCTCTCATTTGACATTGTAAGCTCCTTGGGCTACTTTTTTTTAGCATGTGTTTGATAGAGCACTTAGCAAAATGAAGGACTTTGTACATGATCTGTATGAGACACGAATAAATAACTAGGCAATACAAACTTATAAACAACCAACTAGGCAGCACACAGCAAGTTGCTTTTGCAGGGACTCCTAAAGCATATATTGAAAATAGTATGTGTTCTAAATTCAAAGGGAATTGCACCCTAATTTCTGAACTAAAACTCACTAAAACAACGAAAAAACCTCACAACACTAGAAATTCTAATTCTGTACCTAATTTCTATAGGCTGGAAGAAATTACAGTCATCTTCATTTTTAGCACAGAGATGCAGGTTCCACAGACTACATATTCCTGAACAGTCAGATGGGCCTTCTTTTGATTCAGTGTTAACCTGTTCCCAGTTTACCCTGCAATTTTCAGGAAAAAAAAACCATCCAATCTGGGACTGTTGCTATTCCATGCATCACTACCAGCCTTTTCCGTCAATATATCTATTTACAGCAGTATCTGAATAGTTATGTTCACGCCAAGTAAATTTACATGTTTGCCTAAGTTTCCTAAAAGTTAGTACACGTGCAAAGTCCCAGGGAACTGCACATATATTTAGGGCAATTTCTGATATCTACATAGCACTGTGTCCTTCAAAGATATTCCTCTGATAATCGGATTCCTATCTGATTATTAGGGACCTACTTAAAGCTCATTCCTCTCCTTCAAAAACTTTATGGAGCCTCGACTCAACCTCTGCCCGGTTTGCACCACGCTGTGCTCTAGCTTACAGTTTCTCCTTCTTCTGCAACAAGGGCAGAGATCCAAAGTTATAGATCATCTTGTGTGCGCTATGGAGGAACTTCTATCCTTTGCTACAAATATTTTTATAAGTACCAGCTTCTCTCCTTGAGAAGAGAAGGTTTACCCCAGAGCAACTTCCAGAAGGCAGCCTTGCTGGGGAACCACAGGAAATGTTTACTTCAGCACGGCTGCACCCTCCACTTCACTGCAAGCATTCAGTAAAAAAAGCAAGCAGTGTTAACCCCTAAGGTCTGGAGGGAGAGGAGTGATTTTAGTGCGGGAATGCTTTTAATTTTTCATTTGAAGAGTCTGATGAGAGAGTGTCAGAGTTATAGCCAAGGGGGAAAAACAACAAAACAACCCAGCTCTGTCCCACAAAATAGCTGACTGATAGAAACACTCCTAGATGGGCAGGTAGTTTATCCCTCACCCAGCTCTGCAATAATAAGATTTAGCAACAGAAGCAGTGCAAGCTGGGCCAGTGCTACAGGCTCTGACAGACTTAGTTATGACTAAGAACAGCCAAAGGATTGTCTTTTTGACTTTTGTGTGAAAGTATCTGAGAAAAGGGCTGACTTCAGAAGCAGTACAGCCAGAAACTGTTCAGAAGCATGGCATCAAACCAGGTCTTGCTTGCAAACCTTATCACTCCCTATTTTGATGAGGGTCCTGTATCCAGGCAGGCAACGTGAGAGTTGCTGCCAAAGGACAACAGAAGAAATACTACATTGCTTACTTCCCTCTAGGGCAACTAAACTTTAAAGCTTATCAGGCTTTAAAACACTACCTGTCTTGGACAGAATGTAATAAGTATTCAAGAATATGTAATGGCCAGCTGAATCTAGATGTTACCCTCTAAACATAGTATTTATTGCCCTCGCTGCCAATTCACTTTCTTTTGGTTCCCTTGTACTGTAAATTATTCCTCTTCAATTGCCAGTGGGAAAACATGCTGCTGAACTGAAGCCATTTACTACAGTAAGAGCCTTTGGGGTTGCTGCCCTCTGCCAGCTGTGATCTCCAATGCATGTTTTGTTTTGGTTTCATGAGCAAGCGGATGCGCACGTGGTCGTTGGTACACATTCACTCTGGTTGCAACACTACACTCATCTGACACAAACTCTTTGGAGTACAGTCAGCAAACCAACTGGCCCCAGGGTTTTAGATTTACTAGGTCTAGCCTAAAACTCTTTAAGAGTCTGTATAAAAGTCTAGATTTTAAGAGGGCTAGCTCCACAATCTAGTCACAGCACATACTTAGAGACCTGCCCTAAGCCCAGTTACTTCCCAGGCACTGTCAGCTCTGGAGTAGTCCTGCCCAATTTTCCAGTGACAGAGGAAGAGTGACACGATATAGAGCCTTCACAGACAGGGACTAAAGATTCAGACTGTGTTTGAGGAGATTCCTAGGAGTTCCGTGGGGAAGTGTGGGTCAGCACAAAGCAATTAGTGGGCACACAACTTCCAGAAACCCTGCACTGAACAGTAGCTGCTCTTTCTCCTCTGCTACTCAGTCAACACAGCAGCTGGAGAAGGGGGAGAAAGCAGAGAAAGGACCCACTTCAGGTGAATGATAAAACCACCTCTGAAATCAGAGCAAGGCTAGGCAAGGCCACACTGGGGTCCACCCAGGAAAAACCATCCTGTCTTTCAGGGCCTCAGACTCCTCCCCTAAGCAGCAATCTGAAAGACGCTTATCACTTGTCACGCAGAAGGACTTTTAGCAAGGACATTATCAAGCTGTAGGGCTGGGCTTTGCCCTGAACAGGCTGCAAAGCATAAGCTAGTCTTGTCCCAGGGAAGAGGGGAGTGAGGTTCCTTTCAAGGCAACTGTAACTACTTTAACACTCTCTTCTGCTGAAGCGTGACAGCTTAAAGCAGGAAAAAGATGTATAAGACAATAGCTTCAATCTCTAAGGCAACAACGGCCCAACTACTGACAGGCAGAGAGAAACACTCACCATCCATTTCCACCAGCAGTTGGTTTAAGGTCTGCTCCTCCTCAGCATTAGCAAAACCAGATATATTGGTTGAGCGCTTCTTGCCCACAGCGTCGATTTCGTCAATGTACACAATGCAGGGGGCACGAGCCTGGGCTTCTCTGAAGAGGCTTCGAACGCGGGCAGCTCCAAGACCTATAGGGCAAAAGGAAGAAGAACTGAGCCTCATAGCTGAAATCATTAGCACAGCTGGAGAGCAGGCTTGCTGGCTCCCAGGGAGACACCTGATTCTGGGCAAACCCTCAGTGCCTGACAAGCCCTCTCCCTATGCTCCACGCACAAAGATACAGTCACAGAACTCATCTCTTTAGTCCGAAGGCACTGCTGTTCCTAGATCATGCTGGCTTTTTACCCAGCTCCCAAAACTGCAGAGACTCCTCACACCTGCTGTAGGAGGAACTCTGTTCCCAGCTCCAAGCTGGAAGTCCTGTTCCTTCCACGGGTCAGGAACTGAAATATTCAGCATATTCCTGCATACAGACCCTTGTCCAGTCTTAAGAGATCTCAGAAGAAGAAGGAAAAGGAGAAGATGGAAATCCCACAGTACAAAGAGGCCACAGCTCTATGCTGAAAACGTTTCAGCATTCTCATATAACAAAGGCAGCTTTTGCCGATGACTTTAGTTTGGAAATACTAACAAATATAGGGTAGTCAGAGACAAGCGTTTCCAGGTGAAGAACCATGGCTGCACACTGTCAGAAACAAGCAACTAGCAATACAGAGAACAGGCATTTTAGCTTCTAGGTAACTAAGTACCATCTACAACTGAACACCCCGTGCATCTTCAGAAATACCCAACTCAGCCTCCCCATACCAAGACAGGCTAAAAGCCTTCTTTTCCTAAGGGGTCCAGCCAGCATTCTCCAAGTCCAAAAGAGACCAAGGAACCGCTGCTCCCTTCCTCCTGAAGAGCTTACCTCCTATCACCTCCACAAACTCAGAGCCCGCCATGGCCAAAAACGGCACTTGTGCTTCTGTAGCCACTGCCTTCGCCAGCAAGGTCTTCCCACAGCCTGGTGGTCCAAGTAACAAGGCACCTTTGGGCACTTTAGCCCCAAGCTGAAGGTAGCGATCAGGATTCTATAAGCACAACACAACTCCGTCAGATCCACAGCTCGCACAGAACATCTGCAGAAGAACGTGGCCTCCCAGAGCTTTCTGCTATTTTTTCCATCCTGATAAACTCTGAGCTCCCAACAGGAGCAGCTATCTCTGCACTCTGTTACAGAATTGGAAATACAGAGACTGAGTCGTGTTGATCACACCATAAGCCGTTTTCAGCCTATTTAAGCAGAGGCTGTTCAGTATGATACGGGATGAAGAGAAGAATATACCTTCCTCCCCAGGTTGGCCAGTTATCTCAGAAGATGGGTAGCAAGCACTTACTTTGTTCTGCTTTTGTAAGGCGAAGAAAAGAGAAGAGAGAATTCAACACATTTAATGTAATCCTGGCACTGTCAATCAAACAAGTGAGCATGGGCACTTTGCCTTTTAATCTAATGTTTTCAGCACAGATGATCATGATTAACATTAGAACAGAAACACAGAAAACGGGAGAAGCTCTTATGAAGGCTGCATGGCAGATTCATCCACTCCACTTCCATTACAGGACAGCTGTTAAGTTCCTACC